AAACTCGTTAGAAGGTGGTGCATATGGGGATTATGTAGGGGAGTATTATAGGGGGTTCGTAAGGTCAACACTCGGAGTTTAGATTATAGTTCACATGAGGCCTCGGCTTACTACAAGCAGTTCATGTAGTAAGAGACAAATTTGCTAAGCTCTCCTTTCCATACACCCCTGCAATCCTAAACTTCCTTCAGACTTTTCACAGCCAAAATCATGAACTCCAAGCCCCAATCCCTGAGCACTGTATAGTTCCTGCGTTAGCCGGACATGTCCGGATGAATTCTTGCTGAGCCGCTTAAGGATTACGTGGCGCTCTCATGCTTCTGCAAGCTAGGTGGGGAAAAGCCCAAGTTATACAGTAAGCAGGTAATATCATATCATACAGTCCATCATTGTCTATAACTTATGAACGTGTAATCGCCTAATATTTTGTAGCATTTTGCCTCTCGACTCTCAACCTTCATCCCTGCATCATATCATCCTGACTTGCAATGTATTAACCATAGTCTTGTGCATTTGAGTCTCCACTATCCCTGTATGATCCTTACACTTGTGTTTCGCGATATGTTATCCTAGCATATCATCCCAGTTTTGATTACATGTTCCTTCCATGCTCTTTCCCCTTTGAGTCTCCATTATCCCCTTAAAAATTGAAGACCCTAAATCCCAAACCTAGCTGCAAAGGTATTTTCGGGACCCGAATCCGTTTGAGCCGACGATAAATATCGTAGTCGCAGGCCAGGTCACTCTTTCAAATTGGAGCTGTGGGGTGTAGACCCTCAAGCCCCAAGGCCCTAAATCCCAAACCATGAGGGTATCTTGGGGGTTGCTTGGAAACAATTTTCATGTTTCGCTTATTCTAATCCTAAGACAAAGCAGAAATTCTAATCTTACTAGGGTCCCAAGGTCCGCAGAGGTATGATCTGTTGTTTGAGGCCTTCGGTATCGAGGAATGCCCGTCTGTGGTATAGACCATGACGTCGGGTGCCAGCGTGCACCAGCAAATTGACAGAGCCCTTTCTATAAAGATAAGGAGCAGACCCATTTTTTGGAAAATCCCAAGGCCAATACAGATTTATATGATTGAGGGTACTACTGTGCTCAATGGTGCGCAAGACCTTAACCGCCTTGTGGGTCTAGTATTTCCTAAGACGGACAACCTTGCTGGGTTCACCGAAAAAAGGCCCATTATTTGGTTTAGATGCTTGGGAGAGTGGCCTTCTGGATTTTGCATTGTGTAGGAGTGTTTGCAACCCTCCGATACCTCCAAAACCAGTCTTCTCGTAATCGCAAACCCGCCCAACCTCAAAACCTTTCAGAAATGGTCTCTGGCTTTAATTAGCAAGATGGTAGTTTCCCCAAATACCGGGACCTCCATAAAGGCGGCCGCGGTACAATCCTTGTCATTGGTACCCCCCAAAATGGGACCCCTAATTTTGGGCAACCTTCAGATACCTTTTTACAATGCCGGGAAATTCCAAACCGCAGGCCCTAAACCTGCTTTGCGGTTTAGGGTTGAGGGTTTAGGGTCTCTTGATACGTGAAAGCCCAATCATCAAAGACTAATTCAACGCCGCTTCCAGTCTCTCAATCATAATGGTCATGACCACCCTAAACCCTAAACACATAATCAAAATCTAGTCCCAGCACATCCACAGCGTGCCAAAGGACCTCTCGTTCATCGAAATCCCCGCCCAGAGTCCCGAACTCTAGGTTGGAGAGCTTGATTCCCAAGCCTAAACCCGAAACCCTAAACCCTAAATCCTAAAGCCACTAAACTTTTCATAGATCCCCCTAAGATGGCACCGTCTTTGGAGAGACGTCGGTTTAAGGTGAAGGGTACCTAACAGCCTAAAACCCTGGACCCCAAATCTGAAGCCCTAAGCCCGCAGAGTCCACCCTTCTTTGAGAAACGTCTGACCTGTTGGCAGGAGCGGAGGAGCTCGCGGGAGCTTATCAAACCAACATGTTGTCAGCCGCCGGGCCGCCACAAAGCATAAAGACATGGTTTATGAGTTTGTTTTGTTTTTTTTTTCGGGTTCCGGGTTTTAGGGTTTAGGTTTCTGGCCTTAAGGGATTTGTGGATTTTTTATTGTTGTGATTGTAGCTGAATGACGGAATGGAAGATCAGTGATGGCTACTACATGTGTTTTTGTTTCTTGCATATTATATATGGGGTCTACTATAAGGCTAACCAAGACGGGAGAGCCCAATAAAGACAAGAAATGGACATTGGATTACTTATGTACATGTGTCTAGGGTCTAGGCCATGATAGGGGAAAACCACTAAACTGTTTTGCGCTTGATGGCGAAGACGGCACTATGCACCCTAAGCTCCATAACTCGTACAGGTCAGGTGTGAAGCTTAGGCCTGAAGATATTTAGATATCCCCAGCCCCAAGTCCCATGTAAAATCTACACTCCACGTGCACCAGGCTCAATTTAAGGAGATTGACGGAGCATCTTAGGCCAACGGCCTGCGGCAACAGCTTATCGTTCATTTCGATTCCTTGTTGCCTGGCATCTTTGGGGGTTGGTTGAGGATCTGGCATCGAGGGAGTAAGGGGCTTTCGAAAACTGCGCCGCGCGACTTCCCAAATATCACGCAGCCACGTCTTAGTGATAGTATGTACGAGGACAGAAATGGGCGGCACAGGGCTTTGCTTCCATCATATCCAGGTGGGAAACTCTTGCCACTACCAATTTGTGAGGTCTTCTGCAGGCATTTTGAGACAGACGTGGTAGTCACTGCCACTCCTATTTCAGCACGCCTGAATATTTCGTAAGTTTAATTTCTTTATGTATAGGTAGGCCCGTGCTCTCGACTCCCCTAAGTGCAACCCCTTTCAAAATAAAACTTGCGAAGGCCGTTCTGAGGCCGGGGAACGATTAGGACCCGCGCAGGATCTCATGGCGTTCTGCAGCCTCCAGTAATTAGGAGCCCTTGGAAGCATTTTTCACTTTAGGCGATGAACTTCCTGAAATTGAGAATACCAGAATGTTCACATGCTTGGGTCTTAACTAACATTTCCTAATCCCCTTAAACAAAGCTGTGATGTGAAAGGTTATGCTAAGTAGGGCTCCTTCACCCTTTCGGTTGCATTACCGAAACCTCCAACTGCCAGCATGCCTGGGCTTTATCCTTTTTTGAGATCCTGGTAAGGGTCCTTTATATTAGCGGCATGAAGCGTGAGGCTGTTTTTTCTACACATCAGGGGCGCAGCGGTCGCAGTCATGCCCTCCCATTGTCTTCGAGAAGTGGCAGTGAGTACCGAATGCCTTAGTTTCTGAAGACGCCCAAACCAGCCGCGCTCATCAGATGCATCTTGAAACATCTTGCTCCGTCGCGAGAAGCAGCAGCGTTTCAGCTACACACCGCTTGAATGTTCGCAGAAAAGATTCAGATACAAAGCTGCTAGCTACATTTGTTCCCAACATGCCTGATGATAGCCCCGTTTTCTTTCCTGCTATAAACAGCTGCGAAACGGCAGTGGCAGCCACAGGGGTGTACAAGTGACATCCTGGGTGAAAGTTGAGAATGGTGGCTGACTCCTCTAAAAAGAATGGATGTCCCAGGGTGGAACCAGCATTGATCTAGTATCTGAGGCTTAGGGCCATGCTATCGCTGATGATGGCAGTCACGGGCGCCTTGGCATGTGGAAGTCGCGGCGTCGGTCATGGAACTCAGCATTCAGAATGCTCATTTAGGGCGTGTTATACGCGAGGCTCGTTCGAAAGGAGGACTACCTGATAAGTTTTGAGGAACTCGATATATGTTTCTGGGAAGACTGACTTGCTTGCCTGCTTGCAGGCTGGCAACCATTGCCCTCATTTGCAAAACTAATGTTGCATGAATGTTTTCCAGAGGTGACCCCATAAGGCGTATTGTCCTTGCAAACGGAAATGTAGATTCATGTTGGGGCTTAGAGTTTATCAATTTATCAGCCACAGGTCCTGCAATGTTCCACTGCGATTACAAAAGGTGATAAGTGGTGAGCAAAGCGGAGCACTGCACACCTAGTCCCCAGGGTCATGATGGTTGTGTTGCTGGAAAGGATCCTAAGTTAAAGTTGTCACTAGAAGGAAAGCATATTCTGAAGTATAGATATATAGATATATAGAGAGAGAGGTATAAATATTCATACCCATATTGCGATGCCTTGACCTACTGCGTTGCCAGTCGGCTTCACTACAGTTGGGGTGGCAGGCTGTCAAGAAGGAGCGGGGTAAACTCTACTTTCGCAGAAATGGCAGTAGGTGGTCAATCCGTGCATAAACAGCCCATGGATTTTCAACGAGTGTCGCTGAGCACTGCGAAGTCAATGTTCCATGTAAGCATGTGGCCGTGCGATCCAAGGTGGACTTGACTGGTGCCTCGGCTGCCACGATTGTGCACCAAGGTGCTTCATCCGCTAACTGTTTACCTTGGTTGTCGACTCTGTTTTTTCCTCTCGGTCCTCGTCGTGTCTATAGGAACGGTTATAAGAACATCACACAGCAGTGCCTTGAGAGCAGCAAGATCTACAAGTAAGCGTACGCACAGATACCAGTACTTGGCTACAGTCACCTGAATGTTTTTGCATATCCAGCAGGGTCTCACGGACATCATTCTTAGCGTGGAGCTCTGGCCTGGTTGATAAGGTCGACTGTCACCTAGGCGGTGATGTAGCGGCCATGCTTTGACATGTCGTAGCCCTGGAGCTCTAAGTCTACACACGTCCAACTCTACACCTACATTGGGCAATGGAGCCCCATCGGGTAGCAGGCGATTTGTTTTCGGCCTTCTGCCCTTTACTGCATGTCGGTGCCCGTGCATTGAAAGGACACTGAAAAAGCAGACATGCGTCCGCAGGTGTGAAAGAAGCGCGTAACAGGAACACGCCGTTGGGACTCATGAAAATAGAATATCTTAATGCTACCTCGGACAGTCTGAGGAGCAGTAAAGCAGAGAACAAATGACCATCCAACCCATGCAGCAGACCAACCAGCATGCACCATCCAAGGTATCAGATTGCCAAGCCTTTGATGAACATGAACTACATTTACTTTGCCGCCTTCGTCTTCTATGCTGTTTGGCCCATTTGGATTCGCAAGATTAGTCCTGCATGGCCGATAAGAAGTTGCAATTCCTGCATGGCCGATAGGAAGCTGCATTGCAGAGACAAGATGCTGAACGTCGCAATCGCCATCAATACATAAATAGGTGGGCATATAGCCCCCAAAATGTTGTCATCTCACTAAAAGGGGACCCCCGCAATGGGATTCCTAATTTCTGGAGTTCCCCATATACCGAAGATACACAGTACTTCACTTCGCTGCCTGTTGCTGTCATGGGCGATTCCATGCGTGGCTGGTGTCGGGTTTAGGGCCAAAGAGGAGTCCTTAGTTTTTGCAAACTTTCACCTAGGTGGTTCTCAAAATTGGGGTCCCTTTTGGGTACCCTAAATATCAGGTGCCGTATTATAATAGGGATCCAAAAACGGACCGGCATTTTGACACCCACATGACAGTCTGTAGTTTGAGCTTTGACAACGGCACCTGCCAATCCAAACATGTCGATTCAAGACCGTCTAAGGTTGGGGATTGAGGGTTTGGGATCTCGGTGCTAACTAAAATTTTGAAAGGGTCCAAGTACCAAATAATCAGATACTTACCCAGAACCAGTAATATCATAATTGCTATTGCCCTAAACCCAAGTACCAAATTATTTTGTACTTGGACCCTCTGGGAATGTTAGCCACAGTGCCTCAATCTGGACAATTGTGATCTAGAAGTACCATATGTACCATACTCTAAACTCCCTAAAGGGGTGCATGTAGGGGAGTACGAGAGGTCTTGTTCAAGGGGATACTAGGAGTTCAGACTATTGCTCATATGGTAGTTCCCCTGTAAAGTGAAACCCCTGATATAGACCCCCAAATACTATACTCCTTATCCAAAGGACGACCTACCCCTAATTCTGGGAAACTCCCATATGACTATTATATGGTTCATGGTGTTGTGTGGAGCTAGGGTTGACCAATTGCGCTTACTTGGGGGTGTAGAATTTCATTGCTTGACTAGGTGCCTGATCTTCCGCTAACACTAGCTCTTCCGAATATCTCCAGCGTTTGAAGCAGCCACGCGCTGTAATTTGGGTACTGGCCCCACTCATTAACAGCTGCCTAATGTTTATGTAATAGAATGACATAGAGCTTTTTCTATTCTATGATCCCTACAGTAGACTGTTAATGGGCGGGGGCGGGACCCAATGGCTAGTCCTTTAATAAACCGGACAGGTTTTGCTGATTGTGCTCTGCATCATGAACGTCCTGTCGGCATTGTTCGTCGAGATGGCCTTGCAGATCAAAGACAGGGACCTTCTCATTCAGGCTGCTGCGACAGTTGAGAGACCGCACCTGTACTGGTTGAAAACAAACAGCTTGTCAAAACAAACATTACAAGAAAGCTGTACTGTGTGAGATTTTCGCAAAGCTGTGAGGGCAATAACAGACCTTTGACGCTTAGTAACTGTGACCAATCAAGACGTACTTTGCAGAAGCGCCTTACGCTGCCCAATCAAACCGTACATCAACGTACCAAAGCTCAGCATTCATGCCGTTGTCCGGCTTTATGGCTTGGGGCATTCAGTTTACAACTTAACCCTTAAATCGCAGACCCGGCCTTTGTCTCCAGGCCGAACTTGCAAAGATCGATGCGTTCCTAAAGGACCCAACTCCAGCGACAGGGTTTTTCGAGTTGAAAGTTCATGGCTCATTTTGGGAAAGTTTAGCGTTTATAGGCTGAATTGCTAAGGTTTGCGCTGTATGTGCCTCTGATTTGCAGGGGATGAAGGAGCAATTCCTTCATTTCTTGCTAACAAGCGGTAAGTTAAGCGTATAATGTAGTCCCTAAAGTAGCGGTTTTACCCAAAGGGCCGTGAGTACCACCCTGGCCGCGAGCGTCTTCTGACAGGCCGTTTTCAGTCAGCAGTACCCAGCAAATGGTTACTCCCTAAACCCTAAACCCTATATAAATCGGCAGTCAGCAAAGTCCGTGCCTCAAAAGTGGTGTTGGGCACTTTAGGCGTGAGTCGTTTGGGGGTGTTGGATTTGGGGTCCACTGCATGACGGGCTGAGTGTAACAGAGTGTTCGGGGTTTAGCTAAGGCGACACCTATGGATAGGGTAGTTTCCCCAAATAGGGGCACCCCAACATAGACCCCCAAATACTATAGTCCTTATTATAGGGACCCCTAAAAAGCTAGCCCCAATTCTGCGAAACCCCCATAGTTCAAATTGGTCTTGGGTTGTCGCATAAGCAATTAGCTAAGGATAGACATGGGAGACTTATATAAAAATTGGTCAGCCCTACGCGAGGCTCCTGCTACCTAGCATTAAGATACATTAAGATGGTAAGTTGGGTTGTTGCAAATCCAGGGACATGGGATGTTGTGCTTTCAGAATTACGAGGCGGCTTGATCAATGTCTAGGATGTAGGATTTTCGCTAAACCCTAAACCAGATCCGCGGGTAGCTAGTGCCTCATGCTCAAAATGTAGTTGATACCTAGGAGTGAGCCTTTACTTACAGTTTCCCTTGCTTTGAGGAACCCACGCAAACGCCGGTATTCTGTGGAAAATTGCTTTTGTCAGGATGTCGCCCTGACTCTGTTCTTTAAAGCTGGATTCTTTTCAAGCCCAAGCCCTGAACCCGAAACCTTAAACATGTGCTTGGGGCGAGGCTCTGGCTCTGGGATCTGTAGTTGGGCATAGATAGAGGGTCCCTTAGACGTTGCAGGGGATCTGGTATAAGGTTTAGGGTTGGGTGATTGAATTACGCATACTTGTAGCCCCTGTGAGCCATTTGATAACCCCAGTTGTTCAAGGGCCCCCTGACCTTCCAGGTAGGAAGGAAAACACTCCAGTTATCTCCATAAGATTTGCAGGCCTTTGCATGTCTAGCCCTGCTAAAGCCCATATCCCCCCCCCACACTTACTAGTACAGATGACACTAATGTTTGGTGGTATGCGTACCTAGGTTCCCTGTCACTCCAACTTGACCACCTAGGGGCTCCTACGTAGTTCCTTTAGGGGTTGTATAGTAATACAAGGTTTAGGTGTTGGGAGTTAGGGTTTAGTGTTGACTGAAGGAGTATCTTATAATTCCATATACCAATATTGAGCACCCGCTCCACCCCCAATTTCTAAATGTTCCCATACGAGACCTCATGTAGGGGAGACGTACGTATTGTTCGGGGTGGGGGGGTGTCTCACATTCGTATAAAAGGTGTCATTATCTAACTATCCCGTAACTTCCCCCCAAAAAGGAGCCTCATAGTAATCATTACACGATAACAAGTGTCATAATAGTGAGAATGGTAGAAATAGTGATAATACAGCCTGTTGACTCGGGCATCCCCTGAAGAAAATGTCTAGATGCAGTATTACTGGGGTCATTTAGGGAGAACGGAAAAGAGCATGGAAACTGCTATATAGTATATGGGGTTTTATGGAGTTTACACTATGGCTCATGTCTACCAACCTTCGCACAAGCAGCACACCCTGAGCCAGCAGGACATGCGTGACCTCTTCGACGAGGTGGATGTGGATGGGAACGGCGTGGTGACTCGTGCGGAGCTGTCTTTGCGACTTGCCTGGAGTAGAAACACATCTAGGGAGGGTGATTATTCAGGATGCATGACATGGCATGACGTTTCACAAGAACTTTGCGGGGTCAAGCGTCCAGTATAGGCAGATTCCGGCCTCGGACGGCCAGCTTCAAAAGGCCTTTTCGAAACACGTGCGATTGGAAATGACTGGAGGAGCTGATGCTGCACACTAACTTAAGTCTTCTGCACGAAGAAGATGAAGCCCAAAGTGCCACGCCCAGGTACATGAAAAACGAGCGTGTGATGGCCTACTTTGGCGGGCAAGGCCTCGATATGTCTGATGCTGCCCGACCGCCTGAAGACCATTTGGACCCCTGATTAATAAACCCCATCCCTTTAAGAACCTTAATATTAGGATCCCTATGATTGTTTTAATACAGGTTTCTACAGAGTTTTCTGGTTTTGGGAAGGGTGACTCAGGCCAAGTCCCACATGTGCGTGCCTCTTTCCAATGCTGGTTTCATTGGACTGTGTTGTTGTGCAAGGCAAGTTAGCTCGCCTGCAGTTCCCTTGGAGGCTTCTTCCTTTAAGAAGCAAAGTTCTGGAGCAACACCGACCCTGCACACTTATTCACTACCATGCCGCCCCTGAACCCTAAACCCTCAAGCCCAGGAGAAGAAGAAATTGTATAGGGTCATAAACAACCAAAACCAATAGCAAAAATCGGTCGAAACCCGCCCAAAAGTCGCCCAAAACTCCGGGCACGAACCCTCTTCCAATTCTTTTTTCTATAAGCCCTACCAGCACCAGAGAGACTGAGGTCGGTCTGATGTTCGACCTTCTGGACTCCTCCCACGATGGGCCACTCTGCTAAAGGGTTCAGGGTGCTAGGGTTAAGGCGTTTAGGGCTTAGGGCTTAGAGTTGAAGTTTTGAAGCCCGCAACGTGACCCTCCACAAGAAACCCTGAACCCTAGACCTTTGGAAGGGTCGAAGTAAACCATTATGTCAGAGTCACAATCTAGGCTATCAGCCGGTGCTGAGTCGCATTGCCAGGTCCTAGGGTTCAGGATTTAGGAAATTTAGGGTTGGGGAGGGGCGTGCCCTGGACACCTGTTTGATGTTATCATTTTAGATTGTTGGGCTTATACAC